AATTGAAATAAACCTAAATTACCCTTCTTTTCTTTCTAGAGTGACTTCAAATTGTAACCTGAAACTACATTCCTTTATCCTAAGTAGCTTTTATTTCATAACATTATACATCTATTTATAATTAAATTTTATTTTTTATTGCCCTTTGAATCATGTCCAACTAATACTTGCACAATATAAGTTGTAAATCACCTGCTGTATGTGTAACTCACATTACCCTATTGAATTACACAATGCATGGGCTACTCGTGAGTGTACCTTGTGGAAAAGTTTTATGTTAATTTTTATTTTACCTAATCTAACTTTAAAAGTTTCTAATTCTTACATTTCAGTTACTTTTATAATAATGAATAAAGAATACACATGAAAAACAAGTAATAAAGTATTTAGCTGGGTCTTCTTTTTTCTGCTGTCAACTGTCAATGATACTTAACCCTACTTGTTTATACCAATGGTACTATTGCATTAAACAAGTTTTTACTTAATTAAAAAATGCACTAAATAGTACAGAACAATAACATGCAAAAAAACAGACAATGTACCTTAACTATCACAATTTTCTGGCTTTTTAACTATGCGACAAGAGCCATTCAAATTCATCTAAGCTCGTCTATGTGTTTCCCATGAGAATAAAGTTTGAATTGGAAGTGAAATAGACAAATCTCTGTACAGAAAACAATGTAGTATAAAAAATCATTTGATAGATTGAAACTTTTAATTTCTATTGGTTATAAATAATACAGTATTAAACATCAGAGAACTATTGGCAATTTCTGAAAGAAAGGATGTTACAAGCGGGTATGGCAAGGGGGTCTGATTTTCCACTTCATAGCTCTGTAATCAAATAAGATTGAAAGCTATTAGAATTATGCTTTGCTTGAACAATGACAATTTTTTAATATTGCTTCATAAAACTAAACATGTATAATATCTAAATTTGGATTATCAGCTATGATCTTGCGTCAAATTTATTTGTGAACCATGATAAGAAAGTAGTATAATTAAATTTTTAATGAAACTCACTAACACATTTTCACACGCTCAGAAAAAGATGCCTGTAGCGAAAGTGTTAATTCTTTTAACTACGACTTACTTATGATGTAAGTAGGTATGCAACTCTCGTGAAAAGTTCTTTACAAAACTGAAACTAGTGGAAGAAATTCTTTTAAACTTGAGATGAAAGGTCTTATAAGTAAGTAGTTTTTGAAAAATAAGATATTTAATTTTGATTTTTTCTAAAGCAGTGTTTTTCTCATGCTTTTTTTTTCTTTTCATATGTTGTCTATCCAACATGCAAAGTAATTTTCATTTTAAGATTAAATTCTTATAATGTCTTGATAGTTATCATATGTTTTTTAAGAAAAATCTTTATATTTCATCTGTTATTTTCACTAACGAATATCTGTATGGATTAAGTCGATTTGACCAATCTCATAACCACCATAAAAAATTAGGAAATCAATATAAATTATGCCTTTTTTGTTCTAGAATGACTACAGATTATAACACGAAAACATAAATGTTTCGACTAAATAGCTTAAATCTCATAACATTTTACATTTATATATTATTTTTATTAAATTGACCTTTCAGCTGTGCCTGGCTAACAATTCAGAAGTTACAATGACACAGTGCATGTGCACTCATGTTACTGTATCCAATAATATAAAACTGACCTTTAGTCTCTACAAATTAACTTGTCTTGAATGTGTTTTAGAGGACTAGTATTTTGTAAAATAGTCATATTTCAATTATTATACATTATATATGTATATAGATTATTACTATTTCAAATAACTTCTTAAACTTATTTTTCTTAGAACATAGAACGGTAAATAAAGAAGTAAGGTAAACAATTATCTCTTCTAGTTATGACCTTTGTACTTGGTTGCTGCTTGTCGTACCTTGCTTAGCCTTAAGAAATTTTGCATATGAAGAATGTGAAATGATATAATTTTTTTCAGGCTTTATATATATACAATTGAATAACCAAAAAATCATAAATTACTATATCGATACCACAGAACTCAATTATAATTTATCAATCTCAGAAACTAAGCTGTATTTAGGTAAAATAAATATGAAATTTCGAGCAGACTAAAGCCTCAACTTACCTCTATGGCATCTTGCATCGAAAGAATGAAATAACGCAGTCATATTCGATTGGTTATTCACGTCATATATAATGACCATTTCCAAAAATGGTAAAGAGGTGATCGGGGCCACTGAATTTGATTCGTACATGAGATATCTCAACAAATAAAAAAGATGGATTCTTATTTTATATTTTACTTTGTCAATATTGGTAATTTGAGTTCCTAATTCGTACAAAACTGTCTAATTTGTATTTTCACATCACAAACATTGTTGCATATCACGTGACATAAAAATCGATGTTTAGGTGTATAACAGTAAAATTTTAGTTATAATCTACAGTTTGATACCAAACTTAATGACATAAAGTCATAAAATAGTAGTTCAATAAAATTTTGAATGCGAGTCAACAAACTCGATGATATGGCCTTTGACCCCTGTGGAAAGGGTTAATGTAGACTAAATCAACATTAGGCTATCTTTTCTTTACCTCTTTCACCGCAAAACTTATACATACACAACAAAAAGACACGTTTTAATATTTCACAACTTGTCTAAAACTGGTAAACTTTAGGAACTTTGAACGGGGACTTTCCTTCCTTCATTATAGTACAAAGTTCCAAACTCCTATGAGGGTGACATATATATACATGTGCCTATGGTAGTGAGAGTTAATAACTTTCTTACTTGTACAATGTTATGTTTCCCTTTTCTGACTCTTCCAAAGGAATGAGAGACGTAGGGGTTCTGGGCAAAAACTTTATTCCTGGTTTTCTTTTATTACCATTAGAAAAGTCTTCCACAAGATCTAAGTTTTTCTGTTCTTTCAAGTCATCCAGTGATAGAAACTAGGATACAACAAGGATATTCCAGCACTTTTACTTTAAAGTCTATAAGACAGCTTATAGTATTTCAAGAATTTGATATTCAACGTGTGACAAGAAATTCGGAGATTTAAAATCTAAGATTAAATCATAGCAGATCAGTTTTTCTTCTTTAACTTAGTATCTCATATTACACAGATAATATTAATATCCCATACACAAAGTAAATAAAATAATTTTTTCAAATATTAATAGAAATTACACACACAAACACTACAAATACATTTACTATAATAATAGTATTTAATAATTACACTAATCATACATTAAATTTTTATCTTTAATATATATATATATATATTTCAACATCAAATTTTGAGAACTTCAGCATATATATATATAAAGTTTATAGTAACATAACATACGGGTCAGCATTATAAATCCACTTCCATATAACCAGTTTTAAGAGCATATAGGTGAAAATTACATGACTGTCAAATTTGAAAAGTGGTGTGGTAACAAAAAATATAATCCATCAACAGATGGTTACTGATCTATTAACACCGTTATTCAATGGCCATAATATACTCAATACCTATCATATGGGAAAGAAAACCTTGTTTCTTTAGAACTGTGAATCAGTGCGAGTTTTGACCCGTTTTCATTATTTTTAGCCAAAAAACTACTGGAAAATGAAGACGTGGGACAATTTCAGTGGAATGATTAGACAACGCTTTGATACTTACATCTATATCATTGCTTTGGTTTCCAAATGTAACATCTTTATCTTTACCCTGCTCATCTACCGATCCTTGTTGAATAAGTTTCCTATCAAAACAAAATCAATAATTGTTATTATTATTAATTATTTCACCATCAACCACTTAATCCACCTATATTTACAAATACATCTTAGACAATTATCAACAAAATGAAAATGTTTTCTCACTGCAAGGATATAATTTAAGCAAGAACATAGCATGTCAACACAAAAATAAATAAAAAAAAAAGAAGAGTTAAAGGGATATTGGAAAGAATGCATAAAAGTTTGATAACATTCACCACAAAATAAGTTATAGTATGATTTAAAGTTGTATTATTCAGTCACTAAATTGGAATTATTTTTTTAATTTTAAAAATGTTTGTGTTTACACTCTGGTTGAGTATAGTCAATAACAACAGCTTCTTTTGAATAAACTGCTTAACTGCAATGACATACTTACTTGCGTTACTCTGTAAAAAGTACAAATTGTTATAAAAACAAGGCTTTTTTTTTACTTGGTTAAGTTGATAACTTTGTTGCTCCAAGCAGCTGAGTAATCAAATGAAGTGGAGAGCTGAAAATAAATGCTGCATTGTTCATTATATAGCCTTGCTTATTTCAATGTGTTAGATAGAAACAAATAAAAAAACAAAAATTAATCTTGATTGATATTTGGTGAACTTAGTTACCTTTTCAAATAAAAACTTTTACAAGAAGCCAAATCCTTTAAAAGTTTATTATTCAAAAGAAGGGAGTACCAAATGTCAGTTTCATCTAATAAGCAGACAGAAGGTAGGCTTAGGGAACCTCAAGCTAGAAGTAAGGCAGTCTTTCTTTGATGCATACAAATGAATTACATGCCATATAAAAATTTCCTTTTTAGATTTATATAGTTAAAAAGAAAAAATACTTAAGAACCCAATAATGCATTTCAAAGTTCTGAAACAGGATTCATTTTGATGCTTCAGATACTTACACGTTTGCAAATCACAAATGTGCCTAAACAAGTGTTTCTGACAAAATTATTTTAACATTTGATTTTCTTCAATAGTTTTAAGTATGCTGTATAATATATTAATGCAAGAAAACCATTTCATTCAGGATTTATAAATATTTAAAAATTGATTTAGCTATATGGTATCTTGTGACATATTTTGGTGTAAGTTTAATCTTGTGCCTGTGTGATAACAAGTCTAAAAAATTATCTTGAATAAAGCTCTAATTTCAATCATTGCACTATATTTAGAAGTTATTTTTAGTATCCCTTTATATAATTAATTTTGCATTTTTACTGTAGTTAAAAAATACATAACTTTCATGTAAAATTACATATTTAAGAAAAATTATACATACCAGTACTACATAAGTGTAGATACAGTACCTTATACAATCAGACTACAATACTAAAATAAAATATTTTCTTTATAGATGATTGAAATTATCACAACATGCTAGTTTTTCAAAAGAAGCTATTGTCAGACTAAATAAGACACTATTTTTAAATAAGTTTCTTTTTTAAAATATTGTAATATTAATCAAGCTTATGAGAAAGCTTTTCATGAAGCAGTACCAAAGACTAAAATAAACTACATATACAAATCACCTACTTTTTACTACTAAGAAGGTCCAACATTTGAAAAACCAGGTTATAAAGATACTCCACCTGCAAAAAAAGTTGTATTTAATTATTTTTTAAGCAAATGCTACTTTATTTTCTTGCAACTTTGAATACTAGAAAGTCATAAAGTTTTAATTCGCTTAGATGTGTTAGTGAAGTAACTTCAAGATTACAAGTTGAGCTCCCTAACCACCTGGCCATGCCGGGCCAAATGAATTTTGAAAAATAATCTTTTATACAACAATGAAAAACATATCCAATTAACCATCACCCGATGGAGACCTATGGCCAAAACTAACTGGTTACATTATATAAAATGTTTTATTTGAAAAGTTTTTTGTAGAAGTAAAGTTTAATAACTTAATATACCAAAAGTTGTTAAAAATATCAAAGTACCCTCAGAAGAATACTAAATTGAATTGATGTTGTAACTTATAATGATTATTATAAATCATAAAAAATATTAATTACAATACTGATTAGTGAGATTACTAGTAAGTACAGGATAACATAAAATAAATACTTTAAAGTATAGAAATAATAAAATAAATCATAATGGGAATAACTGAATAGTTGGAATAATACAAAATGGCAATAATCGGAAACACTATTTTTCGTTAATTAATCATAATTTTGAATGACCAATTACTTTGTGTGACACTAATCAAAGTGACTGACACCCATAAATTAATCAAGTTAAATGCCCAAAACTAGCCAACAGATCGTTTTTATAACTTTTTGAAGATATTCCAAATACTTTAATACCCTTATGTATCGCAAACCTCAAAAAATAATTTTGACTTTTGACACACTCACACAAACCCGACACAAATTAAATAGAGAAACACAAGCATATATTCTATTCATGAGAACCAAAAAAGTAACACAAGTACTAAGTCTTCTCGCAGAAATTAAAATGGTGTGAATAAAACCTTAAAAATAATTTATTTTACAGATATTTCACAGTTATCAGTATCACATAAAAAATTACCTTTTTACTATAAACACAAGTTGAACCTTGTATAAGAAGAGCTGCTTGAGCAAAGTTGAGAGTTGTAATTCCATCATTAAAAGTCAGTGTTAGTCCTTCAAGCTGTAATAAGTTTGATAGTATAACTGCAAAGCTTCTGAATAATACATTTTATTTAATTTAGAAAATAAATGTATAATTATACATCTGGTTAATTTTGGTTGTGGTTTTATTTGCAGTTCAACACTAAAGGTAAATAATGTAAACAGAATAAATTTTTACAAATAAAATGATTAGTTGAACATTTCACAATTTTTTACCTAAAAAGAAAAAAAAAAGATTTACAAAAAAAAATTCATATCAAACTTACAGCAAGTTTCATTAAAACATAAAAAGATACATAAAATTAATTGTATGATGAGTTTAAAATATCAACTTAAAACTGATTAACTTACTTCTGCAAGGTACTCTTCCAGGTATGCTGCGATGTCTATCTCCCAGTTTTTTGTTAAATCTCTTATTGGATTTAAAAGATGAGCAAATCTGACTTCAATATCTCCACATGCATTGGTCTCTTGTGAACTGACAGGTGCCATCTCAAGAATGTATATATAGCAAAATTCAAAATTTCCTGTTTTTGATTTTTTTGCCTCTTTTATCAGTTCACTACACAATTCTTAACATCTGTGTGGAAATAGTATTCACAATTTTAGCAAAAAATGAAAAAATAAAAGCTAATTTATTTATCAAGTTTCCTAAGTTACTATTAAAAATATATCAATATAAACAAAACACAGTAACAGTGTACATATTGTAAAAGACTGCATGTCTATCTACACATATTTCAGGAAGTCTAAAGTTACTTACTGAAGGTGACTTTTCCCATCAACAAGAGACCACAATGATATATATTGCTTTCTTTCTCAGTGTTCTAATATTCTGCTGCAAATCACACATACACGTAGTCCTTCAAGTCTGACAGTGTCACCACATTGTCACTTCAAAGCATTCATAAAACAAGTTTTGGTAAGGCTTATTAAAGCCTCCATCAAGCCTGTCATGGTGCCTACTGCTTTGGTCTATTACTGATCCTTTTAACCAAGAAATAAATACTTTGAAATTCAGATCCTATTATTATTTGTCATGGCATTGGCCACACGGTTAGATGTTGTTTGTATACACAGACAAGCTCACAGATACTTTTGTGTCTGTTGGCTGATATGGATCTGATACTCTAATTTTAACTGGCCTAAACTAGCAACATTACACCCATAGTACAATGGTTTCAAACTAACTATTTTTGTATATAGACATCAGATATTTGTAAATGAAAACCTATGTCTATGATTTAACCATATGATTAAAGGGTTAAACCAATTTGGCTACTTCTCGTATGGAAAATGATACACAGTTCAACAATACTTATGATAACTCTGAGCTTTCTTAATATATCTTCATAACAATTGGTGAGATTTTGCTAAAGATTACAAGTAATTTGTACACAAAGAATGAGACTATTTTAATTAGATTTATTATTGTATTATAGTTATTTGCACTCAGACTCTGAATATTTCAAGTATTATCATCAACATATTATGCAATGACATGTTTAAAATTAAAAATAGAAAATGTCCATACCTTTTAATTTTTCATCAAATAATCTTGAAGATATTCTTAGTTTATATATATTTTTTAAGAAAATGTTTATTTTTTTGATATTTTATTTTCTTTTCCTATCCTTTAGCATTATTACTTATTGCAACACACATGAATGAGCATTCTAGGAGCTTCCTCGACAGTGAAAGTTTAACTGCCATCAGAACATTGAGATATTTGCGTACCACACTAAGCCTGATAAATCGAGGCAGTTTGGCTATATTGTAAAAAATTTATTAAACCTTTCTAATATGCATTTTAAAACATAATTAATTAAAATATAAAACTAAACCCTAAATTTAATTGTTTATCTGACATATTTACAGGTGAGAAATACTGCTAAAGCACTAGCATGGATGCAAGCAGCAACAAAGCTAAAAGCGTTTGACAAGTTCTCTATGAAATTCTTCTTGCCAATTTTAAAATAGTATTTCAGAATTTGGTCTTTCTATTGGTTACAAACATCTATTTCAATCAAGTATAATTGGCTGAGAAATTGGAACTGTATATGTAGAAATAGATGTGGCACCTTTCAAGAATTCCAAGAAATTTATTTCTCATTCCTCCCATTGTTCCATAAGAGGCTTGAAAGAACAATGTGTAAACACAGCAATTAACCTAATTTCAGTCTATACATAGAAATGTAGTGTTCAGAAAGAACTATTTAAGTTATAAAGATGAAAAGTTAAAATTTTCTGAACTCATGCGTCAAATTGAAGTTTAAGAATTTTTCTTTAAGGTTTCTTTTGAAATAAAGGAATTAAAACTTAGATAGTATAAAACTTTGAACTATAATGTAAACTTTAATGCTAGTTTCATTGTGCATTGATAGCAAGATTACTTAATTAAATTTTGAATGTAACAACGTAAAATCTCATAACATGAGCAGTACAGGGAAGCTCGGAATTATATGGTTAAAGTTTCAATTACAAAATCAGATATTAATTATTAGCAAATTTAGACTAACAAGAAGATTTTTAGCAAATTTGATTGTGACCTAAGTTACATTCTGCATGACACAAGGCTGCAAAGACTGCCATACTGGTCAGAGGAGGTCATAATTCGGAGGTACGCTATGAACATGTACCAGTTTAGCATGTGAAACTATTTTGTTGATAGAATAAAAGTACAATTCAGTCAATACAAATTTTTTTTATTGTTTAATTTTCTAAAGCAATTTTCCCTTCTGCTTTACCCATGAAGTCCATGGGTTAGTACGGTCCTGAATGGACATACTTATGAAGCAAGTATATCGCAAGGGAAAAACCAATGAGCAATCTTGTGGAAACACCCAATCTCAACAGTGTGCATTATTAGCCATGGAAATATAGTATTTTATGATAGCATCATGGCCATACAATATGAATTTGTGATGCATTAAGTATACCTGAACAGGCAACACTCACTACAGAGCAGAATCCTAACAGTAAAGAAAAGGAACATGCCCTTGAAAGGAAGTACATACAAAGATAACTTACCCAGTCACAGTCTTACCACAGTTTGAAGGATGGTAACAGAAGCAAGACAGTATCTGACATGGAAGAAACAGCCATATGAAGCAAATAGTGGGAGATGAACACATGAGAAGTAGTCCACATGGACAACAGAGGTGAGATGCTAGAGAAAAGGTAATGTACCTGATCTGATGTGACAACACATGGAACAGATTTCAGGAAGAAGAAGATGAGGAGGAATAAGCCAAACCCAATTGGTAAGTGTTGAAGAAGAAAGATCACGAACAGAGGAATGTTGCCAGGAGATGAAAAGGCGGGAACAAGAACCACAAAAGGAAGCCATGCAGCAAATGTAACAATGAAGAGCATGTACAGGACATAGAAGCCTATCCAGGTCAGACCTGGAATAAAGGTGGGAAATGGAAGGAAGAATTACCTTCACGAGCTGCCAAATTCTTGGGATGGAAAGATCAATCCAGATAAAGGAGAAAATATGCAGATTGGTACAAAGTGCAGGAGACATTAATGGCAAATATATCAGATCAACAATGTCCTTAGGCTAATAGGAGTAGGAAGAAGGTCTTAAGGAGCAAGTAAAACAAACAACAGGAGGACAAAGTTACAAAAGAAGGTAAAGTAAGGCAGTAAAGAACCACATTGATATCCCAATCCAGAAAGACTGCTCAACGAGGAGGTCTAATATTCCAGAAGGAATGTAACAACATTGATAGGATAGGGGAGGTAAACACAAGACAGCACAAAAAAATGGAAGGTGTATGATAAGCCAGCTTGATAACAGGCGATAGTTGAGACTGAAGTCCCATGATCAAACAGTCAAATGAGGTAATCGGTAATATAAGGAACAGTGGGACGAGAATGGGAAAACTCTAACATAACAACCAATGGTGGAAGACGTTCCATTTACTTTGATAAACTGGCACTGAGGAAGGGCAAAAGTAATGAGCTGAAAATGAAGTGACCCACTGAGATAATCTGGATCTCCTTGCCAAGGATCTGATAAATACTAGGCATGAAGATAGAGGGTATGAAGGGCAAGATGAAATACCGGTAACTGAGGTAGAAGGAGAAGGAATGGAGTGAGAAGAAGGGTGGGGCAGTATGGAGTTGAAACCTGGGTTGTGCCAGCCAGTAAGAAGCAATCAGAAGAACCTGACACAAGATGGCATAGATTATTGAAATCACCCTGGAAAAATGACAAATGGGAGGATAAATATGGCTGAATGCATCAACAACTAGGGCTTGTGGTTGAGAAACAAGACCCCCCCCCAAAAAAAAATGGTAACTTGGCATTGAGAAAGGTGGTAAATGCATCCTGATGAGGCATACCCCACTGTGAGCATACCCACTGGTATACATGAGGATCAAGGGACCACTCCATGGGATGAATTATGTTATCAGTCTGGAAAGACAATCTGCCACAAGGTTGAGAGCACCCAGAACATGATAGCTGACAGGCTCTATAGCTCTGTGTGATAGAAGAGCCTGGACTGCCTTGGACAGATCAATTTCAAGGACTTTCTAAGCACACACAGAATGTTATTCAAGCACTATTTGGATGCTAAGATCTAAATCAAAATCAATTGGAATTCACTGAAATTTAATAAAATGTAGACTATGAATGTAGACTAAAAAGAAAAGAACAATTTTATTTATTGTGCTCAACTCCACAACATGCATTAAAGTTAGATATATCAGTATGTTTTGCTATTGTAATATTTTGCAATACATTTCAAGTATTCTTGCTAAAAAAAAGGCCCATTTTCAAGCACTTTTGAACCCTTTAAATTCCAATCTCAATTTCAAGGACTTTCAAGGATGCATATGCACTCTGGGCAATAGGATCCCGAGGTAATAGGAAAGATATGGGTATGAGACACAACAAGTGTAGTGAAAGGAACTGGATGGCAAGTCCTTTTGACAAGACCTGAAGAATCCATGATCAGTAACAAATTCCTGCCACATGTGAATAAAATCAGTCAAACAAGCCCCAACCATACTGGAACCCAAAGGATATTCAGTGGTACCACTAGAGATGCTGAGACCTGCATTAATAAAAACGAAGATCGGTGGAACCCCTAGTGCGAGAAACAGGTAAAGGACAGAAGGGTGTTAGATGTGGAACACGAGTTTGCAATGGCTCAGGTTGAGACAAATGAGAAACCAAGGACACTATAATCTACCAATGGTTATTTTGAAATTGTTTCACAGTTGTTATCACAGAGTACATGTAACTGACTGTGGTACTGTTGGCTGCTTGATTGACTACAGCATTCACTGTTGTTTTTTACCTGAATATGTTATAGTTGGAGATACAGTTTAAATTGTATTTAAGTCTTACTATTATATTTTAGTTAATTATGTATTACTTATGTTTTAAAATGCATAATTGAAAGGTTTAAACATTTTTAAAATATACATCATACTTTGCTTCAGTTCTCAAGGCTCATGGTATTACACAGCACACTAAAATTTTGTCAAAGGGTTGCACTTGTCTGCCAGAGACACTGTAATATGTCTTGAAGTCACCACAGACTTTTGTGGAGATGAAAAAGA